GAGCAAAACACTGCTCTGGAGGCTTTTCTCAGAGGAAAAGATGTTTTTGCTCTTCTCCCGACTGGTTTTGGCAAGAGTTTGATCTATCAATTGGCTCCTCTTCGTCGTCACTCTGTTACGTCATATGCTTCGTTGATCTGATTGGTTTATTTGGCCCGTCTATCACTATCATAGGCCAATCAGCTAACCAGTATTTTCGCCCCTTCCCAAAATTACTTTAACGGAAGGTTTCCAGATGGATATGCGGAGTCAGGTTAGGAGGAAGCAGAAGAGTGCTGCAGTTCTGTGTTTAGGCCACAGGTGGCAGTATCATTAGAAATCTCGGTAATACCTCTTTCATATGACTGAACAAGAGAAGACGTCACTAACGTAACTATGTACAATGAACTTGATTTTGGGTCTGTCTGTCAGAGAGCTGAGCCTCAAACTGATTCTGATGTGTTTACCTGCAATAAAGCATATTTTGTTCTGGGTTTGTTTAGGTGATATTCAACAATTTTTGTTTATCTCAGGTAGGAATGGGAATCAAAAACCAGTTCCTGTTCACAACATGGTTCCGTGTGTTCCAATTCCATTGGCACCGTTTGGCAGCTCGCTTAACGATTCTCTTAACGATTCCAGGCAGCATCTGAGCCTAGCTCTGGGCAGCAACACTTATGTAATGTTTTTTTTAACCAAATTTTAACCTTTATTTGACTCCATCCAGCTTTCCATCATCTGACTAGCTCCCTCTTTCCTGAAGAAAGAGAAGCAGGTGGAAAGCATTCCCACAGCATGATACAGCCACTGCCAAGCTTGGTTGGAGCATTCGGGCTAATAAACAGAGTTAGTTTCCTTCCAGGGACTCGTTACACCGTGCCCAGGGCACATTCTGGAGACCTATAGGGCTTGAGGTGAACGGAATAAGGCTTTGTTCCCGCCCCCTTCCAACAACAGATTCTCAGGATATTTAGGTTCATTCTCTTGAATCTTCGTTTTTATAAACACTTAACCTTAATTTCCTTTTTTTCCCTTGTAATTTTATGCCTGGATGATTCATAAAGGAAAGAACAAGTAACTATACCGCATTCTAGGTCATGTTAGATATGAAAATGTAGAATAATTGAGACCTTTTCAGTATCTAATTGAATCCATATATTCTCTGGATTTGTTTTACATCACAGGAATCTAGAGGCGATGAACATAAACAGATACCGCAGCAGATTTTTTTCCCCCACACTGAACAGTTGGTGAAGTCTAATGAGGAAATCTTCTGCTATCCCTCGCCTCCACTCTTCCTCTATTCTCCCTCCCTCTGTTTTTCTTGTGTTTCTTCACCATCCTCCCATTCCTCCCTCCTCCTCCTCCGTGCTTCTTCTTCCTCAGGTGATTTATTGGTTGTCAGGTTGTTCTCTCCTGCAGAGGCTTCTGGGACGCCGTCAAGGTGCCAAGCGGTCAGGTAATGACATGTGTGAGAGTGTGTGTCTGTTAGCGCTATTCAAAGCTGCACGCTCCAAAACGTGTCAGGCATCTGCACACGTGTAAATGAGCGACTGTGAATATCAATCTTCCTAAGAATAAATTCATCTTTAGATTAATCACCGCTTTGATTTATTTATCTGCCATTTAATAACCGGTACTGACTAGCCTGCAGACACACACCACCTGTCGGTGTGTGTGTATGTGTGTGTGTGTGTGTGTTCAGACCTGCTTCCCATCCGCCATGTTGCAGGGCAGCAGCTGTGTGTGTGTGTGTGTGTTCAGACCTGCTTCCCATCCGCCATGTTGCAGGGCAGCAGCAGGACCTGCGATGCAGGGAAGGTGGTCGACAGCGACAGGCAGTGCTGCTTCTGACGGATCTGCTGCCCATGAGTGTACACCCACTCCTGGAGAGAAGGAGA